GTGCTCTCTATCTCTCATTCTCTTTCTCTCAAATAAATAATTTAAAAAAAAAAAAAGGTGGCCATCCTAATGACCCAATGTATATATATGTTATTTATCTTAGATGTCATCAAAGAGGGGAAAAAAAAAAAAACCCTGAAAACCCTTGCACAGAGCTTTTAAGATTATTCTTAAGAACATACAGCACCATTAGGCTCCCTGCAGGTTTATATAATCTGGAAGACCAGGATTGGGTTTATTTCTGGGGGCTGTGATTCCTGTTCATGATGACTTGGTCTGAACTTCAGAGGGCCTCACTGAAGAGGACTGCCGCCTAGAGTTGTTGGTGGTGATAGAATACGTTCAAAGAAAACGACAGTTCAGAATGGGCATTTGAAGGTAAAATTTCCACAGATTAAAGGTATGGTCTCTATGGCACAAGTTCTCCCTTAATTCTCTTCAGAACTCCCTGAACTTTTTCAACCTTTTTCTCTGGCTCTTTCTCTGCTGCTTGCACCTTAAAGACTGGGCTTCCAAGGGTTTGGGTCTTAACCCTCACCTCTTGTTTTTATATGCTCTTCCTGGATACGCTTTCTCCTCCCACGCTTAATGCAGACCTCTCTCCTCCCTTCTCAACCTATATTTCCATTGAGTCTGTGTTTCCACATGGAGTTAATTTTTATGAAAGGTATAAAGTCTGTGTCTAGATTAATTTTTTTGCATGTGGATGTCTAGTTGTTCCAGCACCATTTGTTGAAAAGACCATCTTTGCTCCATTGTATTGCCTTTGCTCTTTTGTCAAAGATCAGTTGACAGATCAGATTTATGTGGGTCTATTTCTGGGCTATTTGGTGCCACTGGCCCATCTGTCTTTCCTTTTGCCAATACCACACTGTCTCGATGACTATAGCTTTCTAGTAAGTCCTAAAGTCAGGCAGTGGTCATCTTGTATGACTTTGTTCTTCTTTACTATGTGTTGGCTATTGTGTTGGTCTTTTCTCTCTCCACATACACTTTAGAATCAGTTTGTCAATACCCACAAAATAATTTGCTTGGATGTTGACTGGGATTGCACTGAATCTATAGATTGAGGTGGGAAGAAATGACATTTTAGGAATATTGAGTCTTCGTATCCATAAACATTGGATTTATCCACAAACATTTCCATTTATTTAGTCCTTTGATTTCATCCATCACTGTTTTGTAGTTTCCCTCATATAAATCTAGTATATGTTTTGTTAGATTTATGCCTAAATATTTTAGAGTTTAAGTGGCACTGTGTTTTTAATTTCAAATTCACTTTCATTGCTAGCATATAGCAAAATGATGGACTTTTGTCTAAAACCATATATCCTTCAACCTTGCTATAATCGTCATTAGTTTTAGTTTTTCTTGTCAATTCTTTTGAATTTTCTACATGGATGATAATGTCAGCTGTGAATAAAGACAGTTTTACTTCTTCCTTCCCAATATGTATACCTTTTATTATTCCTTTTCTTTGATTACCACATATGCTAGTACTTCTGGTATGATGTTGAAAAGGAGAGATAAAGGGGAACATCTTTGTCTACTTCCTAGTCTTAGAGGAAAGCATATGCAGTCCTTAATTCAAAAATATGAAATTCATATTTCAAGGCCCTGGTCACTTCTCACTTCCTCCAGAATTCTTCTCAGGAGACCATATTGATCTCCCCTCTCTGAATGTGAAAGAATTTAGCACTCATTCAATATTGAACTATATTCTGATGCTGATTTTGTCCCTCCAGCTAGAAATGACAGTCCTCAAAGGCAAAAGCTCTGCCTCCTAATTGTGAAGTCTCACTGTGTTCCTTAAAAGCTGGGAAAACAGTAGATACCAAAAAAACACATGATTGATTTTATTTTATAACGACACATACATATATGATAGCAGATCATGTGGTAGAGGACACATTGGTACTCTTTTTGAAACCATTACTGACTTACTGAAGAAAGCTGCTTCTAGAATCAAAGTTGGAACACAGATAAAATGGGGGTAATGTTTTGGAAATTATTTGTGTCTTTTTCTATCTCCTCATGATCATGATCTCCTCTCTAATCAGGCCAAGGTTAGTGGTGGTGTGGTTTGGGGAGGGAAGAGATTGGATTGTTCCAGATGGAATGCTAGAGAAAGCTGGTTTAATGGAGAGATGCTTTTCTCAATTGCTTTGGCATATCAAGAATCAAACCCAGATGAGTCAGATCATAGATTTCCCATGTGGTATAAAGAAGAGGTCATGGTAGCTGGTCCATAATCCTTGTTACCCTATTGTCAAAGGAGTCTATAATTCAGAGAAGTGAAAAGCCTATAGACCATCCCTTTTAGCCTGCAATTGTTTGCAGGAGAAGACAAAGAGCAGTCATTTGATTCAGGTCCCAACTCTATTATACATCACTTCCACCACCCTAAGCAGATGGCGGTGGCCTTCAGAAATACCTGAGTAGCATACAACTCCAAACAAACAAGGGAGAGGAACAGCCACATGCATCTTTGTTCAGAGGTAATATTCAAAATATTTAATAACCAGAATCATCTAGACCAATCGGAGTCTAGACATGAAGTTGAGCTGTGTTCTGGAGTTATCCTGGGGGCTTTACCATCTTTAATGAGGCAAGAACATCCCAGTAAAGGGCTGTTGTAATGGGGGGATACTCCAATGATTCAAAACAGTGGCTATTAACCAACAAGCATGAAAATATTACAATATTTTAACAATGGGCATAGACATACTAGTGAATGTTGGCCTCCTGGAGAGATGGCAACAGAGTGGGTGGCAGTGAACTTGAGGCAATGCTATTGGCTTCCATGGTCTCTGTCTGTTGTGCAGGGGTCCAGAAGCTCCTCCAGATCTCAATGAAGGAATGGAAAAGTGCCTGGCACAAGTCTATGGTTGACATGGGGAGCCTCAGGATGGCTCTCAAGACTTGAAACAAGAGGCTAGAGTTGCAAAATGTTGCAGGGGCACCCTTCTGAAAAGCCCAGAACTGTGGGACTAGTGGTCACCACTCCTGGTAGCAGAAGAGGCCAGTTATGCCAAGGCAGGGACCAGAGAGGAACAAGAAGATGGGTCTTATATCCATCACCTTGAGTTCCCAGAAGCCACATTTGTCCCTTATTCTCTCAGACTCCTTGAGAAAGAGAGGGGTGGGAAATGAGAAGAGGGAGTGGATGGTGGCCAAATCTGAAAGATTGAGGTTCTAAATGTATCAGTTAAGGCTTACAATAATGTTGTTGAACTTTAATAGATG